TACCAAAAGACGGATAGTCTGGCGCTCGGCATTAAGTGGCTCAAACAAGCCTGGTCGGCTCGTAGTCAGTATTCTGTGTCTGAGTGGGGTATTTATGATTTGTTAAACTGCGGCATGGTATCTCAGTTGGCTAGCACTATAAATCAGCATCAGTCCGGACAAGTACAAGACACACACACACACACACACACACACACACACACACACACACACACACACACGTCGCTATATAAGTGCAATAATCTTGGACGCGACGTTAAACCCCATTTCACTTCACCTCGCCTGGTGGGACCTATGTTCTGCTTAAAATATTGCGCGGTTCTCCCCGATTATGTTTCTAGGTTTGTCAGCACCATACCCGTGCTCGTGGGTTTCACCGAAGTGGTAAACGTCTGAGACCTGCATCACTTCGGGCTTTCCTCCCACATTAAGCTGACACGCTGCGATATAACTGGAATACTGTTAAAAGCGGCGTTAAACCCAACTCACTCACTCACTCTCTCACTTGCGTGACATCGTACCCCGACAGCGTGGACCGTCGCTCATGGCATCTTTCAGTCAATGGATTATTTACAGACCACCTCAATACAGCTGGAATTATTCTTAGTGCGGCGTTAAACAACAACAAAGGCACCCTAAATAATCTTCATTGAAGCTGGTTGAATGCTTCCTCTTGCGATAACATAATACGCTGACAATTATTTTATTTCAACGGCAATGACTTTGAATTGATTTTTTTGATAAGAAAAGGTCCGTAGTCATTCTGCTAGGTGGGTCTGATCAGAACCAAACACGTCAACACAACAATAAGAACTATTTCCGCATATGTGTCCTTGAAAGAACATCACATTTTCGGTATTTTGTTCCGCAAAACGTTTACCTTATCACTCATTCATTACCAACTCGTGTTATTCCGGGACAAGCCGAATTGCGACTCGTGCCCCTCTCGTGGCCATTTTTGCGACCGGGTTCCGTCTTAGCGCAAACAGGCATACCAAAAATAATTGTCAACTCGTCGCGTTATGGTTCACATATATTTCCCCATATATTATATATATTTCAGATGCAATTTAAAGCACATCTGGGCATGCGGAATTATACAGTATGATTGAACACATTTAACTGTGCCTTGGGTATATTTTTAGATGCAAGACATATGTAAAATCAAAAATTATTTCTGAGGGATTCTTTGACGAAGAACCTGAAATCATGCGCGCATTCTGATTGGTTTGTCTTATTTCCGCACATAACATTCATCGATAGGGGGACGAGTCTTCTTGCAGGTTACAGAAAGAGGCGAGTGGTGACGAATGCCTTATCACTGTGACAATACAAAACGTACCAATTGGTGGAGTGTTACAATCGTGACAACACGTGTACAAACATGTCAGAACAACATGTTGTACAATACCTTTCCTTAAACTTAAATAATATTTTCCAAATGGATGTCAGTTCTGAAAATAGTCTTGTACAAACATAAAGACTTGTCTCCTAGCAACGCTGTTTTCTGGCAGGGTGACCTTGTCCCGAAAGAGCGCTGCAGCCGAGTTGATTACACGATCTTGTGTTGAAACATCAGGTGAAAGATGCCATTATGTCCTTGTATCACCAGTGTCACAGCCAGGCCGGGAACCGCTGGTGGTGGGTTTGAATCCCAGTTTCAACCCGATTAAGATCCTTGGTTTGTCTAAAAGTCTGGTAAGGGTTGGATCTGGGTAAGATCTGGGTAAGATCATGCTTGTCGTAAGAGGCAACTATCGGGATCGGGTGGTCAGGCTCGTATACCAATTGCGTAGATCGATGCTCATGATGTCAATCACTTGATTGTCTTGTCCGGACACAATTATTTAATTATGACCACCGTCAATTGCTGAGTGTGTCGATTAACAAGAAACAATCCATGCTGTACCATTTTGCCCTTATTAAGATGACACGTGACATTGCGGAAACACTGCTACATCCAACTAATTCATTATACCACGGAGAGGACAGTGCGGTAATTTTCTTGCAATGGTCATTTAGTCATGGCAACAAATATGAACAAGCAGATGTGTAATATATACCCTGTATATGACATCACATTAATTAGTGATTTTTTTTTCTCAACTTTATGATTTTATTAACCCTAAGTCTTTATATACTTCTTTGTGTTCTACAGAGCAGGAAACTAGCGCTTCTCAGCCGATCTTATTTCAATTAGCAACCAGTTGTGTATGCCCATCAATCTGTGTGAGATGTCTGGAGCCCAGAGCGAATCGTCTCATGAGCAGAATCACATGTCAAATGAAACGGTCTGTGCAATACGGTCACCAAGTCAGGAGACACGTCATACGACATGCGTGATAAACGTATGACAGTTGTTCGCATGCGCGTACTGTATGTCCGAAGTGAACCACTCAGATGCACCCTAACCTGATGCTACATCCAGGCACACGTATGACCACCACGAATGGAATGTCCGTTGTTCATGGTCAATAGCCTTGTCACAATGTGTGGTATCGACCGTCTGTAATGATAGTCATATCGAAATTAATTAACCTGGGCCATCTGTCGCTGCGACACGTGCGCGACTGACCCACTTTGACAGTGACTATGCATACAGGTGTGTAATTGTTCACCGATCGACGAGACCATGCCTATCTCACGTAATGTGTACTTTCTCTGAAAATCTTATAACATGCACTGTCAACTTTGTCACTGAAGTTCATTCACATTTTGTCGTCACTCGTGTAGCTGGCTTGAGATGACGTGACCCCTTGTGTACAGTGTAACCGCTACCTCCTGCCTAAATACCACAGCGTGGTGTCATCTCCCGCCCAGCTGTCATGGCTGCTGCTGCTACAGCTGCAGAGCGAGACCAACGGTAGCTCCTTTGCCATCATGTGTACGACTCAGAGGGGCGGTCGGGTAGCCCAGTGGTTAAAGCGTTCGCTCGTCACGCCGAAGACCCGGGTTCGATTCCCGACATGGGTACAATGTGTGAAGCCCATTTCTGGTGCCCCCCGCCGTGATATCGCTGGAATATTGCTAAAAGCGGAGTAAAACCATACTCACTCACTCACTGTACGAAGGTTCAATCATTGCATCCGTGTTCGCCTCAGAGACAGGACCAATCATTGCATCCGTGTTCGCCTCAGACACAAACGTGCCTATACAGATACAGTCAGTGGCTTAAAAAACACCAGGCACTGTTGCAATCAGAAACTCAACACCAGTAACTTGATAGCTAAGTCGCAGCTCAAATATATGTTTCCCTGAGATTGTCACAAAGGATGATGTAGGGTGCAGACGCAAACATCTTCGATGGCAACTGATGTTACGGTGTGGATAGTGTGGTCACGGTGTGGATAGTTGGGACACGGTCTGGATAGTGGGAGCACGGTCTGGATAGTAGGGACACGGTCTGGATAGTGGGGACACGGTGTGGATAGTTGGGACACGGTGTGGATAGTTGGGACACGGTCTGGATAGTGGGGTAACGGTCTGGATAGTGGGGACACGGTCTGGATAGTGGGGGCACGGTCTGGATAGTGGGGGCACGGTCTGGATAGTAGGGACACGGTCTGGATAGTGGGGGCACGGTCTGAATAGTTTGACACGGTCTGAATAGTTGGGACACGGTCTGGATAGTGGGGACACGGTCTTGATAGTGGGGATATGGCAGCTCTGATATGCTTGAGTCATGTTCGCCAAAAAAAGTCATGTTAACTCTGCCAACTGACATTTTATGATGTATATCCAGCTACCATTTATTATAACCCTAATTATGCAGAGACAATGTCGCAATTACAAACAGGGCAGTAAATTCTACATTTAGACCTTGACTGAGAAGGTTTCGCTGGGAATGGAATGGACACCAGCTAGTCTCTTTCTGCGCTTGAATTCTCCCTTCCCCCAAACGTACTTGTGGCTTATTCACAATTTTAGTGGAAATGTATACCCACATGTCCACAGGTCATACTGAAATTTTAAGAGATCCATTTCCACAATCTACAACAACATAATACACCTGATGCAACGTAAGTACTGACGCGGAGTTGGTAGCGGCCGTGAGGTAGCCTGGTGGTTTACGCGTTGGCTCGTTACGCCGAAGGCCTAGGTTCGATTCCCATTGGTACAATGTGTGAAACTAAACGTACAGTGTACATATCTGTGACGTGCTACGTCCGAACTGCGGGCATGACGTTATGAAGCAAAGAACGATGAAGTCGTTAACGTCATTGTTGTTACGGAATTATTTCTGGAGTTGATATCGATCGTGACAAAGCTGATTTATACGAGCTGTGTACAAATGCTGAGCCCTGGGACAGCAGATTTATGGCTGTTGTTGCAATAAATGGTCGTGTTCTTCTACAATGGATTTGTTTACTCGCAGACATGCTTAATTATTCCACGCCTTTTATACCTTTTATACCTGGTTACATTTGTCTCCAGTCACTTCAGCATATATCAATAACCAGGATTATGTTCCCACCTCTGCGCGGCGTCAGCCAAGACTTCGGAGTACTTCAAAGGGACACAGTGATTAAAGCGTTCGCCCTTCACGCGGAAGGCCCACGGCATTATCTGTGAAGCCCATTGCTGGTATCGCCGTGATATTGGTGGAATATTTGTAAAAGCGGATTTAAACCACTTTCACGCTCTACATTTGCAATAAGCTGTGAACATAGATATTATATTCTATTTTCAATGTTTTTTCAGTAATATTCATGTAAAATGTGTTTTCAGGACTTCTTGTTTGATGTGTCAAAAACCAACTGCGGTGCAGAGTTACGTCCCTTAGGCGTACCAGAAACGTATGATCTTATGAATCCCAAATTATCCCTGATTGTTTCTAGATTTGTCCGCACCGTACCCGTGCTCGTGGGTTTCGCAAATGTTTTCACAAACGTCTCAGACTTGCATCGCTTTGGGTTTTCCTCCTACGTCAAGCTGACCGGCCGTATTATGACTGAAATACTCTTTATGTTGGACATAAGACGATGTTGCTGCTGTTGTAGATCTGCAGTTGGCGGCGGAGTTGGGTAAGGCGTTGCTGGAGAGAAACCGAGAGTTGGAGTCCCAGGTGGTCGCCCTGCATCAGACCAACCATGAACAAGCACTGGAAGTACAGGTCCGACGTGTAGCACTCCTCTACTGCATGCTAGTTAATACTAATGCAAAAATTAACAAATGAAACACCATTTAAATCATCTCTCCAATTTTCAGTGAATTCGTGCCCAACCGACTCAAACCATAACAAAGAATAAGACCGCCTCCGTGGTCTAGTGTTATTTCACCTTATAACAAAGAGTAGAAATTGCTACCATCTTGCTTACTTCCTCAATCATCTCTTATCTTTTATTGGTAATGGCATCGCTAAGCTGTGATAGCGTCTGCCCGGATAGCGCAAGGTCCGGGGTTCGATCCCTGGCTGCGTCATAGAAAAAGACGTTAAAAGATGGTTCTTGTTGTTTCCCTGTCTGGCGCTTACCATTAAGGGGCTAAAACAAGGACTGGTCGGCTCGGAGTCAGTATACTGCTGACTGGGGTATTCATGTTAAATTGCGGCATGGTATCTCAGTGGGCTAGCACTATAAAATTGGTATTTGTCCGGACTAGTGCAAGCACGCACGCACGTGACGTTTCGTTAAACCCCATTTCACCTCACCTATTCGTGTGGGATTCCGAGTCGGAATAGTTGTCAGACCCAAGTAAAGTAGGGGTATGGATGCATGTCATCGTTCCCCGACAGTGTGGATCGTTGATCATGCTGTCTGTCCCTGGTGTGCCTGACCAAACAGCTTGTCTTGGGACATAGCTGGAGTGGTCTGTGATCTACTTTGAATATTATTGACTGCGGCGGTAAACAGCATTCCATCGCTTACTGTTCTCTGTTTGTTGTCAGTTCTATGCCAAGCAGCTTGAGACTGTGCGGCTGACGAACGAGTCCCGGATGAGAGTGTACGAGGACCTCGACAGGTCGTCACAGGAGCTGGAGAAGACGAATCAAAAGCTATTGTCCCAGTCCAAGTCCGACAAGGAGAAGATCGACAGGTAGGAGCAGGCGAATGTGTCGCGGACAGGTTTGTGCTGGAGACATGACAGCGAAAGAAACTAACAGTTTTAGTCCACTAGTCCATATAATGATAACATATAGCAAAACCCTTGAAGTGTGCAAATCTCTACTTGTCCTTAAGATACCATAACTATTGGGCAGTTCATCAATAACTATAGGACTAGTGCCAAGTTCTAACCTGCATGACCACTTCACTTAGTTTCTTAGATCCCACCTATGGTATTGTGTGACCTTACTTGATTCTGGTACATGCCAGAAGGCCTTGAGGTGTTCATGTCTCCAGAATAGTGTACTTACATTCAGACAGATGTAGATGTAGATATATATTCTTTTATTGCTCCATAGGAGAGTTACAAGGTATAATATTAAAGATAATTACATGAAAAAATTACATTGTAATGCTTGCCGTAAGAGGCGACAAATTGGATCCCGTGATCAGGCCTGCATGTCATCATATCCCAGTTGTGTGGAGCGATGCTCATGATTTCGATCACTGGATTGACAGGTCCAGACTCCAGACAGCACTCGTATAGCTGGAATATTGCTGAGTGCGGCATAACTTTGGACATATCCAACATGGTACACAATTTCAACCACTACTCCAGATTAATTTTGCTGACGTCTTAGCTTAGATCTGACAAACTCTCTCGATGGTTGTGTATTTTGCCTCGCTCCTTGCGAGCGTTACGATCTACTTACTGTGGGTACAGTTTCTGTGAGTTGATAATTCCAAAGCACCTTTCCCTCAGTGATATTGCTGCTATGTAATGTGGTGTAAAGCATTCACTCACTCATCTAATGTGTTGTTCCAGATTGAGCAACACTGTGGAGCTTTTGGACTTCAGGGTGGAGGAACTCCTCAAGAAGATTGACGAGATGAAAGCTGTAGAAAGACTCACAAAGAAACAGGAATCACGCCGTGCCCTGAGTTTAGCCAGCCTCAATGAAACAACCGAGACCAAGAAGGGGTATTACCTGGAGAACTTGTCCTGGACTTACAATGAAAAACTCAAGAATCTACCCATGAATCCCTATGAACAAGAGATACGGCGACTTCAAGAAACTGTCCAGCATGTGAAAAGTTTGAAATCTATAGAGAAGCACAAGAGGGAGGATGTGGAACTAGAGAACTCTATTGTCATTCAGGAAAATCAAATCTTGGAGAGAAGAATAGCATCGCTCGAAGAACGTGTGTCACAAATCAAAAGTTTAGAGGCTGAACTGTTGGAAGCCAATGACCGTTGTGCTAAGATCCTTTGCTGGAGCTGTGACCGCAGTGTGGAGGATGTGGAGTCTCAGTATCACATTCTGAAGGAGATTGAACACGACCACCCAGAGCTGAAGACGCCTGGCAAGGCTGTGAAGCTGGGTGGTGGAGGCAGCCTTTATGGCAGCTCCGAGTCAATCAGCAAAGTGGCTGTGGATGCTACAGAGATTCTGGAGAGAGACGCAGATGACTCGGGACTGTCTATTCTGGATGAACTGGAGACACAGTACAAGAACCTATTTCAGAAATATGAGGCAGTGATCAAAGCGAAAAGACAGACCGGCGAGTCTGAGGAGACTGCGGAGGAGAGGATGCGGAAGAGGCTAGCCAATAAGGAGGTTCAGACTCTCCTAAACCTCACCTTCACGAAGGATTATACCCAGGACACAGGACAACCTGCACCCTACAAGGTGTTGTTCAAGGAACTGTTCGCAACTCTCAGGAAATCGAGAATAGAAGAAGCAGCGGAGAAGCTTTCACCCGGATCCACTCCCACCTCCACGCCCGCCTCCACGCCCGCCTCCACGCCGGATGGCACGGATGATAAGAACACTCAGACTTTCATGTAGATCTGATCGTGAAATGAAGCCTTCACACAACGTCTACCGTTACTGACACACTGCAATAATAGTCTATACAGTACCCTGTCGTTTACATGGACACCCTTATAGTGGTGTTGAGGTTGGACCTGACACAGCCAATCAGGATTAAGAGTATTCCACTTCTCTGATTGGTGGTGTTGAGGTTGGACCTGACACAGCCAATCAGGATTAAGAGTATTCCACTTCTCTGATTGGTCAGTGACCGCATTCAGGGTCGCTGATTGGTCAGACTGGTGGCAATCTCGGATTAGTGTGATGTCGTTCCTGTTCTCAGATTAGTCATTCTGTTTCGCTGATTGTCAGAGTCAGGGTATTTCACGTCAATGATTGGTCAGTGTGAGGGTAATCCTCATCGCTGATTGGTCGGTGAATATATGCAGCATCGCTGATTGGTCAGAGTGGGAGAATCCACTTCACTGTTTCCACAGTGTCAGAGGATCCCGCACGCCCGTCCTGTGGTCGATGAGTGTGAGCGGTGGGTACAAGTCACTTAATATATGCATGTTCACTCTACTTCTTTATTGGTAGAACGCAAGCCATGGTAGCTTGCTAACTATGGAGACGATGGCCAGATCTACAACCCAATGAGATTTATATTTTAGTACCCAGTATGCACTGCAATGTCAACCCCATGAGACCTCGCATAACACAACCATACTTCCATTCATTTCAATCGAAACGTATTTCAAAGTTGACTGACTTTTCGTCCATGTCTGCATTATCAAAGAATCTTTCAAAATTGTGTCTCCTAAGTTAATAGACAAGGATTTGTGACAGTTCAGATTATTCTGTTTTGTGTTATGGGTTTTTTCGATTTGTATTCGAATGTATTACCATTTTAATCTTTGATGGCATTTTTTTCAAATACTCTCAAATCACACACTAGGCATGTCACACGTGTCAGAAACGAAGAACATTTATCGTGCATGGTAAGGGAGGCAACTCATTCTCATTACAATGTCTCCCTCAACAACGTACTTCACCACAATGTTAGACGGGGTGTCCTTCACCTCGAGCCAGACACACGATTTCTTACCTCACTGCCACACACGGTGACAAATCCACGGTCACATATACCTTGAGGCTAGTCTTCCCATGAAAAGCCAAATATTGAGATTCCTATCTCCTAGTATTGCCTCTAGATACTATTTACCTATTTATTCTTATTTTATCACCTTGACTGACGCAGCTTACGCCAGCTGTGGTAACCTCAGCCCTGTGCGGCTCCCAATAAACGAGTCACAAGTCAATATGAAAATCGTTTATGGGCATCAGCACAGGGATGCAGTTACCGCAGCTAAGCTATGTTAATGCTTAATGCTTAGCAGTGTAACCTGTCATTGCTTCACCATCGTCTCATTTCCATTATCAAAACACGTGGGGTAACAGTATCTATTTAGACTCGACTCTGTTGACAATTTTGTTGGTTAAAAGGCGCTTGCCGTTCTTTCAAAGGGAGATAATCCGGTCACCAATTGTAAGGTTCTCAGTGATGGTGTTGGCGGTAATATGTGTCGCACCTGTACCGGCTGTCGTTGTTATACTTGTGTACAGCAGTAATTGTGAATAATATTTCATGTAAAATATGTAACAATGTTAACAATGTTAAAAAATTACCAGGACCATGATAATATATACTTCCAATAATTATAAATTAAGTATAGCTTGTTTGTCACAAATTACCTCCTTCGTGAGATTGTATATTTTGTTAAATTGAAACTTTGTCTCTGACTTCCAACTGTGTTTAATGTGATAATATTCCGAACGTTGTAGTAATTGTTGTATTTATTTACCAGCATTATCTACTAATTCAAACACTTCCCTTGACAGGCCAAAGAGGAATCCCACTCACAAAGGTCACATCCGAATGCCTTCTTCGTGTGCATCTAAATTGAAAATCAAATATATTTGTGATTAAATCAAATCAAAACTGATGTCTTATATTAACATGTATGTTGTTTGGGATCTAAGCAAAGACGACATCCGACATGTGAGCTTTGTGATTGCCCGTGTGACGACATCCACCCGAGGCAAGAGAGTTAACTGACTTTAAAAGTCCAGTTTCCACCCTTGCCGAACTAGGCTGGAATTCCTGGGTTCGATCGTAGCGCCACCAGTGGCTATTACGAGTAATGTCCTTTCTATGCCTCTCCTATTGACCAATCAGATTCAACCTCTCGTATCACTAACATTTGCTTCAAACAAAACGGTGGCGCCCAGTCAAGACGATCTGATCGATAATCGAGATCTATATTGTGATCAAACGAGTCTTACATCGCGAAGTGCATCAGATCACGTGAGCACCTTGATCAAAAACATGAAAAGATATAGAAAATATTTGTTGACAACGAGTTAGCGGTGCACATGCTTTGCAAATCCTGCAGTCGACGGAACTATGCATGACACTTTACGAACCGGATTTCGATTTCAGTGCGCGACTATGCATAGACTCGTTAGTCCAGCCAAAATGTAACTCCATAATACCAGCCTAGTTCGTCAAGGGTGGAAACAGGACTTTTACAGTCAGTTAACTCACTTGCCTCGGGAAGATGCTGTGACGACGACGACGACATTGTAAGATATGTATGTATACTACCCTCGTCTTCCGTGTCCCCCGCTGTTGTTTGTGATAATGTTGAGTGATGTTCGCAAGCTATATTCCTACATTTTATTTATATGCTTTATTTACCTCAGTGAGGTTTACTGTTCATGAAATAAAATCAAATTTATTATTACCGTTTGTGGTCTGGTCAATTCTGTTCGACATCATATCGGTGTATGCTTGCTCTCTGTCCTTGTTTACTTTATGATAGCGGACAATGTAACTGCACAACTCATAATTGTCACATTGACTTTTTGTTGTACATTAAAACATTTGATATGTCAAATCAAGAGGACTTATGTCGTCCCCTACTTGTCAGGCATCGACGTCTGTAAACATCTTCTTCGAAACGACTTCACCAATGAAGCTAAAACTTCACATGCTTGTGGGAATTGCACCCGAATTTCTTGAAGAGGTTCGAATCCAATTTTCAATATGGGCACCATGGCAGCCATATTGATAACGCTATTCATTGCCATTACAGGGTCAACGTTGTTCAGAATGTAATCATGACATTTGCTAGAGTCCCAGTTGTGTGTGTGTGTGCGTGCGTGCGTGCGTGCCGATTCAAGTGCCAGCCCACTGAGATACCATGTCGGAGTTTAACATGAATACCCCACTCAAACACAGTATACTGACTCCGAGCTCTACCACTAGACCACGGAGGCGGCCCAGGATACAAAGGGATTACATATGACAGAAACAGTGTTTGGGGTAGACATGGTTTATTAGACAATAGGAAGGAACATGATATAAGCGGATGTACAAGTCACAGTCATGTTATCACCAAAACCCACGTAGATGGGGTGATCCTCGTCAGTTTCTGGAAATTCGCATAATATACTGGTGGCAACAAATTACGGAACACGCGGCAGTTCACATAATGAATCTACTAGTGGACCCCTCTGATATCGGGGCTGGCATTTTATCGAAAAAATAAAAAGTCGAATATTCTTGATATTCTAATTAGTCTTTAGGCTTTAAACTGTTGACATAAAGAGAAAATGTCTGCCACACATCTTGGCAAAATAATTGATTGAGGGAGTTTTGTTTAACGCCGATTCTAGCGGTATTCCAGTTATATCACGGCGTGTAAGCCTAATGTGGAAGGAAAGCCCGAAGTGATTCAAGTATCAGACATTTACCCCACTTTGGTGAAACCCACAAGCACGGGTATGGTGCTGACAAACTAATAAACATAATCGGGGAGAACCGGGATTCGAACCCACTATCACTGGGTTCTGGCATGCCAAGGGACGCAACTCTGTCCAGCGAATTGCGGCGCCTCAGACTCGTGCCCCAAAGACAAATAAGAATTCCAGTGCTAAGTAAATTCAATCCCCTGTTTTAACACAGCTATATATTTTTTATATACAACAGATAGATGGTTTAACAAAACTTTTTATTCATTGTTACATAAGGAATAGTAATAGTGTATCAATACATCAGTAAAGGATAACTGAAATAAGCTATTCATATGGTCACGTGATATTGATAATAGGATCCGGAAGTGTGATCTTTGTCATATTTGTGCAAATCAAATCATCAAGTCTTTGAAAGGCATTTAGAAGAGATAGACACAAGGAAGAGAATATATGGATGTCAACTTCTTTATTATGAGGAACAAAACGTTTCGGAGTATATGCTTACTCCTTCATCAGGTAAATGGATGTCTATTGCTAAACACCTATCAGCGCCAATCATCTGTTGGCTTCCCTTGTTAATTTCTACCCTTTGTTATTTTCCGCCTTTTGTTATCTTATTAATTTTGTTGTCCTTACATGCACATATATATGCTCTCTTCCTCATGGCATTCATTCACCCGACGAAGGAGTAAGCATACACTACGAAACGTTGTGTTTCCCATAAAAAAGAAGCTGACATCCATATATTCTCTTCCTTAAATCAAATCATGTTATTACCTTTTTAACTACTATCTCCTGGCAATTGCACGTGAAAACTGTGACTAACTCAAGTGGACGTAGCCAAGGCAACTGGTATCTGTGTGATTGAATAAGGGAATCCCGTAAATTGGACTTAAAATACATGTGTCTCGACCTATGCTGACGGCATATTTGGCTGCTGTGTTCTATTTGTAATAGTTCTGTTAAAAGAATGGGGGGTTATGGGTAATAATATAGGAAATGCATGGCTTCTAATTTTGTCTACAATTGTCTGTGACGATGTATTTTTGGTATATGTGTTAAACACATTATTCTGATGTTGTTAGTTGTCAGTTTTATTTTTAACGAAACCCATTAATTCATAAAAGGTGTTAGCAAATTTGTCACAATAATGAGTAGTCTACAGCGCTTATTCCACGGGGTTTCAACGATGTTTATTAACTCAGTAGGGGAGGTAACCGCATTTGAGGCAAAAACAGCAGTGAACCATATAAAAGTGTACATACACTAATTAATGAATACTGCATTCGAACGAGTATTTTGTTTCTCTTCTGAATGTGTCTGTGTTAATATAACATTCTGAGTAACATTTTTTCATTGTAATTTGTTCAAATTTAAATTTGAATTAATGATATACTTTTTAAGATATTATATTCTTTTACCATTTTCTCTCCTAATTATTAACAAGATAAAATTGTCTTGAACAATTCATAAAACTGTATGTAAGAAAATATGAACATTTGAAAGAAACATTATTGCAAGATGTTGTTAAAACATATTCAGGCTCATAATAATAATCAAAAATATTTGGTTTTGCATCTGAAGCTGAAAATATATCGAGCATAGATATCCATAGAAATCCCAGCCCTTTTCCCGAACATCAAAAAGGCAGACCCAAATGCACATTTGTGGCCAGATAGGTTAATTCGGTTTTCTAAATGCATATACATCTGTCCGTAATAAATAAGGATATAATATTTTACAACTCCCATAACTATGTCCTGTAATTTGTAAAATATGTGTTTGTTTATTTCAAACATTTCCCTGTAATAGCTATTGAAAAGAGAGTATAATCTTGTTAACATTGCACGGTACATTTAAGCTGGTTGATTAAGCACACACACATGTATTAGATATAGTGAGGTAATGTGACAGGTTTAGCAGGTATATACGGATCACGATAATATACTGAGCGTCACACTGAACATAATGTCTGAAGGTAATATCGAATATCATTCATAAATATCCTATTGAAAACCAGATTGAACGTCTTATTGAATATCATTCCGATCGTCATACTGAATATCACTCGTGACACGGAACGTCAGAGTGAACGTCATATATTGAACACTACCTTGGATATCATTCTTAACATCCCAATGAACACATCACATCACATGTTTAACAAAGATCTAACTTACACTTTGAGCGAGTTCATCAGAGTATGAACAGTCGTACAGTGACAGCCAAACTAGGGATGTCAGAGTTTGGACATCATGTTGTATGACCGGCCATCGTCCAATAGAAAAGCCGTTATGGCGCGTAAACTTCATATTAAAAGACAATATCCACAAATATCCTGCGTATATTTTCTTTCAGAACGCTTAATTCGTTTAACATCGACATGAATACATAATTTTATTCCGTTTGCTTTGCATGCATACAGACGCACATATAATAATAATAATCATAATCATAATCATCACATAATCATAACTTGTATCAATGATAAAAACAAGGCTACGAAAAGAAGTTTTCACACAGAATGCATACTGTCGGACCAGGTATTAACCCTGGCATAATGGTTTTCGTGGCCCGGATGTACCCTATCTATGACCTTGAACCAAGGCAACTTAACTCTGGATGGAGTTTGGCCCAATGGGTGCGGATGGATAACTACGACTAGATATTACAGTTTCATAAAGTTATCAGGAAAATGTTTATTTTGAAATATTTTAACACAATCCAAATACAACAAATACTGAAAACAATAACTGTAAATAAACAAAAGTAAAGCGGACTGATAAGATTGCACTGTGTCGTAGGGGCTGATATTACACAATACTTCGACGCTCCTTTAAAGGCGAACCACGTTCTAGCACCATGGTTACGCTGACCTTGCCCTTTTACAGTGTCCAGCCAATCAGAGTAAGGGTAACCAGGAGGGTCCATGCTTCCATAAAACGTGTTGTTGCCGAATTCTGGAAATAAGGGAAACAGACAATCTGAAACACTGCCATATTGAGATACGTAGTGAACGTTCATCACAAGGTACTTGTATTCGTTGAACAGTATGGTGTGTTTGACAGGAGATTATCTGAAAATCCGGGCCGAGCATCTTTTGAAGATACCCAACAGATGTTCGCTGACCCTGACTTTGCCGCCTGGCGGACATTTTTTTTCTTTCAGTACAGGCTGGCACAGACGGACAATTTAATCAAGTGTGACAAGAATTTCGGCGACAATACAAATACTATTTATGTGTTAATTGTGACAATTAAGAGGTGGACCTTGACATATTAGTTACATGTGTTATTTGTAACCGATGAATATGTCTGAATAAAGTATATTATGATAAGTCGTTATATATGTGCGGCTTCCGCTAGACCTTCCGTAGCGTTCTCGCCGAAACAATGCTGTTTTGCTGAGTTGCCGTTTCAGCCTTCAACCGTTTAACAGGCATTGTGCTTGAGTTAGTAGTCTTGCAAGAACCAAGGTATGAAGGTATTGCGTGGAACATAGTATTTCTGCTAATCGAACATCTTCTTGATGATGGGCGGTGGGGTAGCCTAGTGGTTAAAGCGTTTATCGTCACGCCGAATGCCCTGGTTCGATTCCCCACATGGGTAAAATTTCTGGTGTGCCCCGTCGTGATATGGCTGGAACATTGCTAAAAGCGGCATAACACCATATTCACTCACTCACACTTCTTTTTGAACATCCGGGTAACCTATTACCATATATATCCATCAGTATTCACATGATTATGATGAGGTTTACCATACTCGTTTGTTAGCTTTAATTGTAATAAATAATATAATACGAAAGGTCCTTAAAATGTTATTCTTTTCAACAAAAAACACACATAAATAAAAGCGAGAGAAAACATTTTCATAATCATAAGTAATCTCCATTGTACGCGAAAAGGTGGGCGTATCCTGCCCTGTCGGTGGCACCCGTCACAAACACATGCAAGTGATAGTTACTTGTTCACCTTAAACAACACGGGAACATATGGTTCAACACGAACCATACAGTCCCACCTGACACAAGCTCGGTCACTGATGCGTCAAACCTTGAAATGTTCATAAGTCTACCATAAAACCATTTCAAGGCCCTACTGATGCCTCGAGATGCGAAAAGAAAATATGCGTAGATTGAATTCATTGTCTTAAAAGAGACCAACAGCGCAATATTGGGTCAAGCAAGAAACCATGAATGCCGATATGACGTCTTTTTCCTACGACGATTCAGGGCTACTGCATCCTCAGGAGAAAAGTGATACACCCCCGAAATATCGTACAGCAAAAGGGCGTTGACACCCATAGCATGTCACGTCTTCCCATGCTACCCATGCCTGTGAGGGTGGCCTGCCTGTGAGAGCGGCCTGCCTGTGAGAGTGGCCTGCCTGTGAGAGTGGCCTGTCTGTGAGGGTGGCCTGTCTGTGAGAGTGGCCTGCCTGTGAGAGTGGCCTGCCTGTGAGAGCGGCCTGCCTGTGTACTGACGTGTATGGGAACACAAGGTCATCAGATACTATCACTGACGTATCTGTGGAGATGCTGGGTCAACACTTACCTTCTCGGTGGTCGTAGCTGGAACAGAGTGAGAAACAGCGTTAGTGATACCATCCACACATAACTTCACACCCTACTGGGTTTCTGTGTCAAACTGTTCACACCCAACTGGGGTTCTGTGTCAAACTGTTCACATCCTACAGTTGTACCATGTCTAACTGTTCACATCCTACTGGTGTTCTATGTCAAACTGTTCACATCCTACAGTTGTACCATGTCTTACTGTTCATATCCTACAGTAGTACCATGTCTTACTGTTCACACACTACTGGTGTTCTGTGTCAAACTGTTCACATCCTACAGTTGTACCATGTCTAACTGTTCATATCCTACAGTTGTACCATGTCTTACTGTTCACACACTACTGGTGTTCTGTGTCAAACTGTTCACATCCTACAGTTGTACCATGTCTTACTGTTCACACCCTACTGGTGTTCTGTGTCAAACTGTTCACATCCTACTGGTGTTCTGTGTCAAACTGTTCACATCCTACAGTTGTACCATGTCTAACTGTTCACATCCTACTGGTGTTCTATGTCAAACTGTTCACATCCTACAGTTGTACCATGTCTTACTGTTCATATCCTACAGTAGTACCATGTCTTACTGTTCACACACTACTGGTGTTCTGTGTCAAACTGTTCACATCCTACAGTTGTACCATGTCTAACTGTTCATATCCTACAGTTGTACCATGTCTTACTGTTCACACACTACTGGTGTTCTGTGTCAAACTGTTCACATCCTACAGTTGTACCATGTCTTACTGTTCACATCCTACTGGTGTTCTGTGTCAAACCGTTCACATCCTACAGTTGTACCATGTCTTACTGTTCACATGCTACAGTTGTACCATGTCTTACTGTTCACATCCTACTGGTGTTCTGTGTCAAACTGTTCACATCCTACAGTTGTACCATGTCTAACTGTTCACATCCTACAGTTGTACCATGTCTTACTGTTCACATCCTACTGCTGTTCTGTGTCAAACTGTTTACATCCTACAGTTGTACCATGTCTAACTGTTCACATTCTTCTGGTGTTCTGTGTCAAACCGTTCACATCCTACAGTTGTACCATGTCTTACTGTTCACACCCTACTGGTGTTCTGTGTCAAACTGTTTACATCCTACAGTTCCACCATGTCTAACTGTTCACATCCTACAGTTGTACCATGTCTTACTGTTCACACCCTACTGGTGTTCTGTGTCAAACTGTTTACATCCTACAGTTCTACCATGTCTAACTGTTCACATCCTACAGTTGTACCATGTCTAACGGTTCACATCCTACAGTTGTACCATCTCTAACTGTTCACATCCTACAGTTTTACAGTGTCAAACTGTTTACATCCTACAGTTGTACCATGTCAAACTGTTTACATCCTACAGTTGTACCATGTCTAACTGTTCACATCCTACTGGTTTTCTGTGTCTAACTGTTCACATCCTACAGTTGTACTGTGTCTAACTGTTCACATCCTACTGGTGTACCATATCAAACTATTCACATCCTACAGTTGTACCATGACTAACTGTTCACATCCTACTGGTGTTTTGTATCAAACTGTTTACATCCTACAGTTGTACCGTGTCTTACTGTTCACATCCTACAGTTGTACCATGTCTAACTGTTCACATCCTACTGGTGTTCTATTTCAAACTGTTCACATCCTACAGTTGTACCATCTCTAACTGTTCACATCCTACAGTTGTACCATGACTAACTGTTCACATCCTACTGGTGTTCTGTGTCAAACTGTTCACAACCTACAGTTGTACCACGACTAACAGTTCACATTCTACTGGTGTTCTGTGTCAAACTGTTCACATCCTACTGGTGTTCTGTGTCAAACTGTTCACATCCTACTGGTGTTCTGTGTCAAACTGTTCACATCCTACAGTTATATTGTGTCTAACTGTTCACATCATACAGTTGTACCATGTCTAACTGTTCACATCCTACAGTTGTACCATGTCTAACTGTTCACATCCTACTGGTTTTCTTTGTCAAACTGTTTACATCCTACAGTTGTACCGTGTCTAACTGTTCACATCCTACTGGTGTTCTGTGTCAAACTGTTCACATCCTACAGTTGAACCATGTCTAACTGTTCCCATCCTACTGGTGTTCTATGTCAAACTGTTTACATCCGACAGTTGTACCGTGTCAAACTATTCACACCCTACAGCTGTACCATATCAAACTATTCACATCATACATTTGTACCATATCAAACTGTTCACATCCTACAGTTGTACCATATCAAACTATTCACATCCTACGGCTGTACCATATCAAACTATTCACATCCTATACACACGGGTCAGTAACAGGGGAGAGCACTGTACTCACACGAGTCAGTAACAGGGGAGAGCACTGGACACACACGGGTCAGTAACAGGGGAGAGCACTGTACACACACGGGTCAGTAACAGGGGAGAGCACTGGACACACACGGGTCAGTAACAGGGGAGAGCACTGGACACACACGGGTCAGTAACAGGGGAGAGCACTGTACTCACACGAGTCAGTAACAGGGGAGAGCACTGGACACACACGGGTCAGTAACAGGGGAGAGCACTGTACTCACACGAGTCAGTAACAGGGGAGAGCACTGTACTCACACGGGTCAGTAACAGGGGAGAGCACTGGACACACACGGGTCAGTAACAGGGGAGAGCACTGGACACACACGAGTCAGTAACAGGGGAGAGCACTGGACATACACGGGTCAGTAACAGGGGAGAGCACTGGACACACACGGGTCAGTAACAGGGGAGAGCACTGGACACACACGAGTCAGTAACAGAGGAGGGCACTGTACACACACGAATCAGTAACAGGGAGAGCACTGGACACACACGAGTCGGTAACAGGGGAGAGCACTGGACACACACGAGTCAGTAACAGGGGAGGGCACTGTACACACACGCGTCAGTAACAGGGGAGAGCACTGTACACATACGAGTCACAAGCTCCTCACAGCGATAGCCCGTTCGCGGAGCTCTCTATACTATCGCTGCCACCAGTCAAAACTCCCCACTGTAAATAGGTGGCCACAACCATGCTTGGAGTTGAACTCGTAACCGAATGACCGTTATGTTTACAAACAAGCGACGACTGTCGTGACGCCGAATACACTTATCGCTGCTAAATTACTTTCTTCGTTTGTCAATTTGAATTTCTGTTTCATTAAAACTATCGTGTTATTGATATAGTAAGAATGTAAGGGAGAAGTTGGTTGGTTTTCCGTTAGTCTGCAATCTCGAATCAATCTGATTATTAAAACAACAAAGTAAATTCATCTGGAAAACATGGTCAGTCGTAAACCTTTTTAAAATGAACTATGATGGCAGTCACAAACACATAAACAAAAGTATGAACGTGACTGCATTTGGGGTTAGAGGGCAAATTTCAAGATTCTTGTAATGGCCGCGCCCACACTGGTGGCAGCGATGTTACCGAGAGTGTAACGAATGTCTCACGCGCTTGGAAGGAGCTTGATACGAGTCAGTAACAGGGGAGAGCACTGTACACACACAAGTCAGTAACAGGGGAGAGCACTGTACACACACGAGTCAGTAACAGGGGAGAGCACTGTACACACACAAGTCAGTAACAGGGGAGAGCACTGTACACACACGAGTCAGTAACAGGGGAGAGCACTGTACACACACGAGTCAGTAACAGGGGAGAGCACTGTACACACACGAGTCAGTAACAGGGGAGAGCACTGTACACACACGAGTCAGTAACAGGGGAGAGCACTGTACACACACGAGTCAGTAACAGGGGAGAGCACTGCACACACACGAGTCAGTAACAGGGGAGAGCACTGGACACACACGAGTCAGTAACAGGGGAGAGCACTGGACACACACGAGTCAGTAACGGGGGAGAGCACTGGACACACACGATTCAGTAACAGGGGAGAGCACTGGACACACACGAGTCAGTAACAGGGGAGAGCACTGGACACACACGAGTCAGTAACGGGGGAGAGCACTGTACACACACGAGTCAGTAACGGGGGAGAGCACTGTACACACACGAGTCAGTAACAGGGGAGAGCACTGGACACACACGAGTCAGTAACAGGGGAGAGCACTGGACACACACGAGTCAGTAACAGGGGAAAGCACTGGACACACACGAGTCAGTAACAGGGGAGAGCACTGGACACACACGAGTCAGTAACAGGGGAGAGCACTGTACACACACGAGTCAGTAACAGGGGAGAGCACTGTACACACACGAGTCAGTAACAGGGGAGAGCACTGTACACACACAAGTCAGTAACAGGGGAGAGCACTGTACACACACGAGTCAGTAACAGGGGAGAGCACTGTACACACACGAGTCAGTAACAGGGGAGAGCACTGTACACACACGAGTCAGTAACAGGGGAGAGCACTGGACACACACGAGTCAGTAACAGGGGAGAGCACTGTACACACACAAGTCAGTAACAGGGGAGAGCACTGTACACACACGAGTCAGTAACAGGGGAGAGCACTGGACACACACGAGTCAGTAACAGGGGAGAGCACTGGACACACACGAGTCAGTAACAGGGGAGAGCACTGTACACACACGAGTCAGTAACGGGGGAGAGCACTGGACACACACGAGTCAGTAACAGGGGAGAGCACTGGACACACACGAGTCAGTAACAGGGGAGAGCACTGTACACACACGAGTCAGTAACAGGGGAGAGCACTGTACACACACGAGTCAGTAACAGGGGAGAGCACTGGACACACACGAGTCAGTAACAGGGGAGAGCACTGTACACACACGAGTCAGTAACAGGGGAGAGCACTGTACTCACACGAGTCAGTAACAGGGGAGAGCACTGGACACACACGAGTCAGTAACAGGGGAGAGCACTGTACACAAACGAGTCAGTAACAGGGGAGAGCACTGGACACACACGAGTCAGTAACAGGGGAGAGCACTGGACACACACGAGTCAGTAACAGGGGAGGAGAGATATCACAGATCTGTCAGTTAGTCAGCCACGGCAGTTTCTTTCCAGAAGGTAGCGTGAAGGTACAGTTGTGTGATTGTCGGAGATGTAAAAGGAACACAGACATTTAACGAAACAGCTGGTGTAGAAAATACAGGTATTGGGTATGGGTATTGGTATCAATAGCATCTGTGGAGGGTAAGACCCTCGTCAGAGAGAATATTGGTTGCAACAGGAAGTAGGGGGGGTCCCCATAGAGACCTTCTGTGGCCCAAATTAACCCTTGATATCTGAAGTTACTACTACTACTAATACTACTAATACCACTAATACTGATACTAATACTACTTCTGCTGCTGCTGCTGTACTGGTGTACCTGAAATACTGCTGAGTGCGGCGTTAAACAAAAGACAAAACTACTACTACTACTACTACTACTACTACTACTACTACTACTACTAATACTACTACTAATAATACGTCATCCTCGATTTTCCAGTGTGTAATATCTCCATCATATTATGATAAATACCCTGGATTCACCCGTTGCCTTAGCTTTAAGTTGACCCTGATTTGTAAAACTAAACAATGCTCGTCCAATCAGATTACTTACATGAGACAGACATTCTGTGCTGAGATTCAAGAGATTGACGTAGTGACGACCGTTCCGAAAGGAACCTATGGTAGCGACGAATCCTACTAGAATTGAGATATAATACCCTGGATAGCCGAGGATGCTACAGCTATTTAGCTCACATCTTCTCAAGGCAAGGGAGTTAACTGACGGACTGTAAAAGTCCAGTTTCAACCCTTGCCGAACTAGGCTGCAATTATGGATTTATATTATGGCTCGACTAACAAGGCCAATAGTCCAATCAAAATCGCGAAATGAATTATACATCCGGTTCCTAAACAACATGAATTTCAACGTGCACTTATCGGTCGACTGCAGGATTTGCAAATTATGTGTACCGTCAACTCGGCGTCCACAGATATTTTCCAAATCTTTTCATGTTTTTAATCAAGGTCCTCTCTTGATTTGCTGCACTTCGCGAGGTATGGCCCGTCTAATTTCAGATCGTCTTCACTGGGCGACGTCATTTTGTTTCAAGCAAATGCAAGTGATATGAGAGGTTGAATCTGACTGGTCAATAGGAGGGGCATAGAAGGGACATAACTCGTAATAGCCACTGGACCTTTAGGGTAAGATGTTTAGTACCGGGGAGGGTGTGAGGAGCACAGAGAGAGAGTGAGTGCGGCGTAGAGAGCCAGACTTACATCCATCAACTACAGTAGAAGAAGAGGTTGCAGTAGAGCCGGAAGGAGTATTAGAAGCTGCGGTGGTCGAGCCACTCACAGTCGGCACCGTACCTGGAGCCGGCGTCGGCGTCGGCGCAGCAGTCGTCGTGGGCGCTTCACAGCTACCTATAACAGAATCGTGTCACTTTTACGACACCGAACACGGTGCAGTGATGTGGAACCCCAACACAACCACATCCCCAACCCTTCCTTTCAGCATACATTGTTTGTTGTTTAACACCGCACTCAGCACTCAGCACTATTCCAGCTATATAAAGGGTGTCTGTAAATAATCGAGTCTAGACCAGACAATCCAATGATATATGTCATGAGCATAGATCAACGCAGCTGGGATAGGATGACATGCATCAACCAAGTCAGGAAGCAGGACCACCCGATCCCGTTAGTCGCCTCTTACGACGGGTCCCTTTAAGCATACTTAACATTTCTACATTGGAATGTTATAGGTGATCGGGTAAACATACAGCAACACTATGACCAAATTGTCAGCTGGTGACATATTTTCAACAAAAATACTAAAACATACATCCAACCTTGTCCAAAGAGCTGTGTCAGCGCCCAGACATTGGCGTGGATTCATGGGGATGTAAGTTTACTGTAAACATATTATTGATATTTCAGGACCGGGCACTTATTCCGTCGTCTTTTGTTTGATCCTTTTAGAGTTCACAAAAAAATAATAAAATAATAATCATTAGGGGAACACCTGTCGAGGAGGTGTCATGGGCACCCAACGAATCTGAAGCGCCGCTGTGTCGAGCAACATTATGAACCTTGGCTTGTCAGCACCACACAAACTAACGGGAATATTGTTAAAAGTTGCGCTAAACACATCTGACATCTTTGAGTCTGACTCTGCCGGAGGGTTAATGAACAAATCAGTCATTTATCTTATAAAAGGTAAACACTAAAACAAAATGTGTCTTTCATTACAATGGAGAACACGGCAGATCCAGTCGTCTGAGCGCAGCAAGTCAGTGTGCGGAGTGTTGGGAACCTATGACCGTTGGTTCGAATCTGATTATGTTTCTAGGTTTGTGTGCACCATACCTATCGTCGTGGGTTTCACCAAAGTGGTGAAAGCCCTGCACCACGTCGGGCCTTCCCTCTACATTGAGCTACGGAGTGGAATAGGTCTCCAGCAGCCCATTCTTGCAGTAAAAGGTAACTATGCTTGTCGTAAGAGGCGTCTAACAGGATCCGGTGGTCAGGCTCGCTAACTTGGTTGATGCATGTCATCCTACCCCAATTGCGCGGATCGATGCACATGATATCAATCACTGGAATGTCTGGTCCAGACTCGATTATTTACAGACCGCCGTCATATAGCTTGAATATTGCAGTGTGGGGCGATACAAGGTCTAACCATGTAGACCCTACTCTGACTGCACCACCACACAGGTTTGATACCAGGTCTAACCATGTAGACCCTACTCTGACTGCACCACCACACAGGTTTCATACCAGGTCTAACCATGTAGGCCCTACTCTGACTGCACCACAACACACAGGTTTGATACCAGGTCTAACCATGTAGACCCTACTCTGACTGCACCACAACACACAGGTTTGATACCAGGTCTAACCATGTAGACCCTACTCTGACTGCACCACCACACAGGGGTTTCATACCAGGTCTAACCATGTAGACCCTACTCTGACTGCACCACCACACAGGTTTCATACCAGGTCTAACCATGTAGACCCTACTCTGACTGCACCACCACACAGGGGTTTCATACCAGGTCTAACCATGTAGACCCTACTCTGACTGCACCACCACACAGGTTTGATACCAGGTCTAACCATGTAGACCCTACTCTGACTGCACCACCACACAGGTTTCATACCAGGTCTAACCATGTAGACTCTACTCTGACTGCACCACCACACAGGGGTTTGATACCAGGTCTAACCATGTAGACCCTACTCTGACTGCACCAGCACACAGGGGTTTGATACCAGGTCTAACCATGTAGACCCTACTCTGACTGCACCAGCACACACAGGGGTTTGATACCAGGTCTTACCATGTAGACCCTGCTCTGACTGCACCACCACACAGGTTTCATACCAGGTCTAACCATGTAGACCCTACTCTGACTGCACCACCACACAGGTTTGATACCACGTCTTACCATGTAGACCCTACTCTGACTGCACCACCACACAGGGGTTTGATACCAGGTCTAACCATGTAGACCCTACTCTGACTGCACCACAACACAGGTTTCATACCAGGTCTAACCATGTAGACCCTACTCTGACTGCACCACCACACCAAGGTTTGATACCAGGTCTAACCATGTAGACCCTACTCTGACTGCAGCACCACACAGGTTTGATACCAGGTCTAACCATGTAGACCCTACTCTGACTGCACCACCACACAGGGGTTTGATACCAGGTCTAACCATGTAGACCCTACTCTGACTGCACCACCACACAGGGGTTTGATACCAGGTCTAACCATGTAGACCCTTCTCTGACTGCACCACCACACAGGGGTTTCATACCAGGTCTAACCATGTAGACCCTACTCTGACTGCACCACCACACGGGGGATTGATACCAGGTCTAACCATGTAGACCCTACTCTGACTGCACCATCACACAGGGGTTTCATACCAGGTCTAACCATGTAGGCCCTACTGTGACTGCACTACCACACCAAGGTTTGATATCAGGTCTAACCATGTAGACCCTACTCTGACTGCAGCACCACACAGGGGTTTGATACCAGGGCTAACCATGTAGGCCCTACTCTGACTGCACCACCACACACAGGTTTGATACCAGGTCTGACCATGTAGACCCTACTCTGACTGCACCACCACACCAAGGTTTGATACCAGGTCTAACCATGTAGGCCGTACTCTGACTGCACCACCACACACAGGTTTGATACCAGGTCTAACCATGTAGACCCTACTCTGACTGCACCATCACACCAAGGTTTGATACCAGGTCTTACCATGTAGACCCTACTCTGACTGCACCACCACACACAGGTTTGATACCAGGTCTAACCATATAGGCCCTACTCTGACTGCCCCACCACACAGGGGTTTGATACCAGGTCTAACCATGTAGATCTACTCTGACTGCCCCACCACACAGGGGTTTCATACCAGGTCTAACCATGTAGACCCTACTCTGACTGCACCACCACACAGGGGTTTGATACCACGTCTAACCATGTAGGCCCTACTCTGACTGCACCACCACACCAAGGTTTGATACCAGGTCTGACCATGCAGGCCCTACTCTGACTGCACCACCACACAGGGTTTGATACCAGGTCTAACCATGTAGACCCTACTCTGACTGCACCACCACACAGGGGTTTGATACCACGTCTAACCATGTAGACCCTACTCTGACTGCACCACCACACAGGGTTTGATACCAGGTCTGACCATGCAGGCCCTACTCTGACTGCACCACCACACAGGGTTTGATACCAGGTCTAACCATGTAGACCCTACTCTGACTGCACCACCACACAGGGTTTGATACCAGGTCTAACCATGCAGGCCCTACTCTGACTGCACCACCACAGAGGAATTTGATACCAGGTCTAACAATTACTCTACTTACTGACGAGCGTGAGTTGTTTGGACACTCCTGGGTCGGTCACCTCGGTTGATGTCTGGCCGCTCTGGCAGTCTCCAGGCGCATGCGTCAAACTCACTCCGTTACTTGACGTCGCCATCACCTTAAAATGAAAGAACAGGTGAGACGTATGAACCTGTTGTAACATTGATTCAGTCAGTTTTCATGATTTGAAAACTAAAATACTGTGAATAGAATGGTGTTTTCCCTTCCTAGGCAGGGAAGACCAAATACATAGGATATGTTATCAAAGGCAACAGGGTACCCTACAGGTGTGGGCTGTGTTGAGTCCCAAGTTCGAATCCCTACATGGATGCAATGTGTGAAGCCTATTCCTTTTAACCATCTCAACCCGAATACTGCTAACAGCGACGTAAAATCCTACTCACTCACTCACTCACTCACTCACTCACCTAAACTCAATCATATCAGATGAGTTGATCAGTTTGTACAAGAAAACTGGTCCAACGTCTTCCCAAAGATCATGTTAACGTGACTTTACTCCCAAGGGAGTTGAGGAGGAAGGTCAATCCGTTGACCCGGCCTCACTGATCAAGACGACTGTAGAGCTGCAACGATTATCATGTTCTAACATCGCACTGTCGATAGTCATAGTGCTACGATCGCTTTGTGACCCGATCAAGGTCAAAACATCGTACCTTTGACCATTCTTGTAATGTGATGATGATTATGATGTCTATGAGAAGAAGTCGTAGTATTGTTGGACTTACCACGCAGGAGAAGGGGATGAAGGGGTTGCTGCTCTCGTCTTGGGCGTCGTTGTAGAGAGTGAGGTACGTCATGTCGCCACTGACGGAGTCATACAGGCAGTTATACACCATCTCCCCTGGAAGCAAAAATGTGTTATAACAACATGTTATACAGGCAGTTATAAACCATCTCCCCTGGAAACAGAAGATGTGTTATAGCAACTTGTTATGCAGGTAGTTATATACATTCTCCCAGGGAAACAGAACATGTGTTATAGCCACTCGTTTAACAGGTAGTTATAAACCATCTCCCCTGGAAACAGAAGATGTGTTATAGCAACTTGTTATACAGGCAGTTATATACATTCTCCCAGGGAAACAGATCATGTGTTATAACAACATGTTATACAGGCAGATTATATACCATCTCTCCTGGAAACAGATCATGTGTTATAACAACTTGTTATACAGACAGTTATATACATTCTCCCAGGGAAACAGATCATGTGTTATACCAACATGTTATACAGGCAGTTATATACCATCTCTCCTGGAAACAGATCATGTGTTATAACAACTTATTATACAGATAGTTATATACCATCTACTCTGGAAACAGAACATGTGTTATAGTTGATATTTGGTGTATGGATCCGCCCAAATACAATTTTATCAATTTTGTTTTATCTTCCTGACGAATCTGTTAACAATTCCAGTAAAAAACAAACATCCTCATCGCTTCTGCTTTTTTTCAAAGAAACTCTTACCGGCATTTCAAATGCTTTTTAATTCTGGCAATTGATGGTTTAGAAAAGATCTCATTTTAAACTATGAGTCGCACAAGTTGTGCATTTGTCTCTCCAGTTAATATTTCTCGGCAAGGACTGGGGTAGTCTAGTGGGTAAAGCGTTGGCTTGCCCGGCCCGGGATCGATTCCCAACATTATGTAAAGCCTATTTCTCGTGTCCAAGGCGGCGCAAAACCATACTCACTCAGTCCTTGATAAATATCCACACCAAGCTGCCACGCCGTTCAAAGCGGCATTAAACTACATTCACTCTTGACAAAAGGTGTAACGCCCAGATCAGGGATACCATTGCTGGATACAAAGCTGGTTTTGTTAACGTCATTTTAAATCAGACCTCGCATCCTTGGTTGCCGCCTTGATATGAGACCACAGCCTGACTGTAATACTCAGTACTCCCCCGCAGTGCTGCACACCCACCTGAGTACTGACCGCTCCCACATTGGGTGTAGTTGAAGTCGAGGCGTTTCTTGTCGGTGCAGACGTCGAGTTCCGCACCCCCCGGGCATGCCACCAGGGTGACGTTGTACTGCCCCAGGATGACATCCGGGCACCGTCTGGCAGACTCGTTCAGGGAGCCTGGGGACACAGCATACTCTCATACAACTCATTGTCATTCTCGTTTATTATATTTTCACTCAGTAATGATAAATACCCTGGACTGATTCGCCACCATAGCTTCGTTTGTGACGTCACCACCTTCATCCCTCCTATCACTAACTTACCACGTAATTTTTCTCACTCATTTGAGTAATTTCACTGGGCGGTTATTCTTAGCGTCGTGTCATTCGAATTTGGGACAAACTGAAGCCATTATGACAAGGGGGCACGGGTGGCCCAGTCGTCTGAGGCGCCGCGATTCACTGCGCTCCCTTGACTGTCTGTTCGAATCCCGGTTCGCCCCGATTATGTTTCTAGGTTTGTCAGCACGATACCCGTGCCCGTGGGTTTCACCGAAGTGGTAAATGTCTGAGACCTGCATCACTTTGGGCTTTCCTCTCACATTACGCTGGCATGCCGTGATATAACTGGAATACTGTAAAAAGCGGCTTTAAACCCAACTAACTCACTCACTCACCCATGATGATGAATAGGTCCATGGTATTGACTGGAGATATAATACCGTGATAATCGAGGATGGGACTTTGTAGTTAGTGCCCTATTCCTGTGTGAACTTGAGTGATTGCCTCTGTGTCCCCATTAACAGTTATAGATTTATATACATCATAAACGTTTGGTCAGTAGATCACAAGAGAGGCCTTTGAATGTAGTACTTGCTAGGACTGATAATCCGAGCCGAATGTCCCGTCAACTTTCAGCAGCCTATCACAAATAATTGCATGAAGCTGTCGTACAATCCCACATTCTGCCTAAAACGGTAATATTAGAAATTGATTAACGCCATAGTGATATTCTAGTTGTATATAGAGCTTGGAGCTTGGTAAGCCAGCGTAAGACCAAAGCCCCGTCGGGTTAGAAGAGGTATACTGTTGTGTCACCCTACAACAGGCATTCTTGCAAATCCTAATTATAACGGCTTTCACTCAAGCTATGAAATTATTGCTGCATATTCCACCGTGAAAATACATTCGGGGAAACTGATGACGCAATTCGCCGAGTTGCGTCCCTTAAGCGTGACAGATCCGTGCCGGTTATGGCCCTTGATTGTTAGTACCACACCCGTCCACATGAGTTTCAGGCGATTTGTAAGAGGCGACTACGCTTGTCGTAAGAGGCGACTAACAGGATCGGGTAGTCAGGCTCACTGAGTTGGTTGATGCATGTCATCCTATTCGAATTACGTGGATCGATGCTCATGTTGTTAATCACTGGATTGTCTGGTCCAGACTTGATTATTTACAACCCGCAGTCATATAGCTGGAATATTGCCGAGTGCGGCGTTAAACAACAAACAAACATGGTAAACATCGAGGCATGCCTCGCGTTCAGCCTTTCCTCTCTCGTTACGCCGACACGTGAGGCATAACTGAAATCTGTTCCAAGCTGTGTCACAGCCATTGCAGCGACTCACCTTCTAACATCATGAAGGAGTAGGTCCCTGGGTCGGGGGAGGCGGCGACGTTACAGACGTCGTCCAAGGTGGGGGCGGTGTTGTTGTAGAACGTGACCAATCTATCATTGTTGGAGTCAACGTTTTTAGCTGAAATGTAATGGCGACCTTTAATTATTACCGTGTTGGTTTAAGGAGGATGAAGTAAAATAAGTTTGATATCTTTGTTTTTTTCAGGAATGCCAAACAATATTATGTTCCTTCATACGGCTACAAAAAAGTGGCTAAAGATCGAGTCCACTACTGATAGCGTGGCACGGAGTAAACACGTGACATGATGTAGGCACGTGACAAGACGTTAACACGCTACAAGATGTAGACACGTGACAAGACGTTTACATATCACATAGAGGATAGGTATGACAATGTCGACGAGAAGTGACAATGAATGCTGATATGACAACGACAAATAGTAAAGGCGTGACACACATAATGTAGGCGACAACGGGTAAACAGAAAAGACGTGACAGTGAGTATAGTGAGTGAGTATGGTTTTACGCCGCTTTTAGCAATATTCCAGCAATATCACGGCGGGGGACACCAGAAATGGGCTTCACACATTGTACCTATGTGGGGAATCGACCCCGGGTCTTCGGCGTGACGAGCGACCGCTTTAACCACTAGGCTTCCCCACCGCCCCTGACAACGCGTATAGAGTAATGACCTGACAAAGTGTGTAGGCCGGACAGTGAGTATACACACACATATATATATATATATATGGTCATGAATGGTACCTGTTGGCTGGTAGTAAAAGAGGGTGGTGGTAGAGACGTCATGGAAGTCGAGGCAGGTGTAGTCCACGAAGACGGCGGGGCCGAACCTGTAGGGCTCCGATCTGTAGGTTACGGTAAGAGGTAAGTTACGTTTTACGCCGCAAATCACGGAAGAAGAGGGTGATCCCAACTAATCCAACAGAGTACTATCTCACACAGTGGCATATAAGGGATATACAGTGTTATAATGCTTTTTTCTGTAGGACGAACATTAGTCATCATGTGCGCATCATTGAAATCGTATATCGTGGGAGGACCTAGTCATATAACAATAATTTTACACTTCTATTCATAACCCATGCTAAATAATTAGCTATAGTTATAATTAATGAAAAGGTAGAAACTTGTATAGCCTTAGGAAGAATCTGTGTCAGCATGACGTCAATGATGTCATTATTATTGTGACGTCATTAACATTATATCAACAGTTACGCCTGAATCAGGTCAACATACACTTGCATACCGTCAGCAATGGCGCCTGAATCAGGTCAACATACACCTGCATACCGTCAGCAATAGCACCTGAATCAGGTCAACATACACCTGCATACCGTCAGCAATAGCACATGCATATGGTCAACATACACCTGCATACCGTCAGCAATAGCACCTGAATCAGGTCAACATACACCTGCATACCGTCAGAAATGGCGCCTGAATCAGGTCAACATACACCTGCATTGCCGTCAGCAATAGCACCTGAATATGGTCAACATACACCTGCATACCGTCAGCAATAGCACCTGAATCAGGTCAACATACACTTGCATACCGTCAGAAATGGCGCCTGAATTAGGTTAACGTACACTTGCATTCCGTCAACAATGGCGCCTGAATCGTGTCAACATACACCTGCATATCGTCAGCAATGGCGCCTGAATCAGGTTAACGTACACCTGTATACCGTCAGCAAAGGCGTAGAATCAGGTCAACATACACTTGCATACCGTCTGAAATGGCGCCTGAATCAGGTCAACATATACCTGCATATCATCAACAGTGGAGCCTGAATCAGGTCAACGTACAGCTTTATACCCTCAACAATGGCGCCTGAATCAGGTCAACATACACCTGCATATCGTCAGCAATAGCGCCTGAATCAGGTCAATGTACAGCTTTATACCCTCAACAATGGCGCCTGAATCAGGCCAACGATACAGCACTGCAATGAAGCATAGCACCTGAAATCAGAATTATTTGCATGCTTCGTATGTTTGTTTATTAACTTGCGTATTTTGAACCCTGTTGGAAACAGCCCTATTTAGTCTCTATTTATTGGATATTTGTGACAGTTGCCTATACATGTGACAATACAATATGACCAACGTTTGTCGCATTCACAGGTGAGTAACTTTTGATACCGTTTAATATATTTTATCAGGAAAGTTCACCAGATTTCAGGGGTAAATAAGAGCAGATGTTTTATTTGTGTATGGGATATCGCAAATAACAGACAAGTTTTATTTGCAATTTCTGTTTATTAAATATTGCTCCCATTGCACCCATTGAGTTTACCTCCACACCCTGACTGAAATCAAAAGTGGAATATCTTCATTGTAGACAGACAGTGTCACATCAGTATGTGCTGAATTTATAACTGGCGCTTCCTCATGACACTATCCCTTATGATGTAAGCTTAATGTATTTTAGAACTGGCTTCAATATAATTTGCGTTTATGAATTTACAGAGGTTTTTACGTCTATAACTTCATAAACGAAAGAAAACTTATTGAAATCAATTCTTATGAATAAATACACGAAAAATAATAACTTCTCGGATTGTTTTTGAAATCATCAACACACACAAAAAAAGTCAGTGTCAGTGTCAGTGACATCCGTTCAGCGCAATAATGCACACAAGCCCCACCCATTCCATTGTCAGCCAATCAGTAGTCCGTCAGTGGGCGTGGCCTTATATGTTTTTCGGCAAAACAAATGGCTTAGTTAGCCAATCAAATGCCACGGAATCACTTGCAATTTATTTATCTACGAGCTATCAAGATATCCCTCATGGTGGTGTATTAACACACAAGATGTATGATGTTGTATTAACACGTGACACAATGCATGATGGTGTATTAACACGTGACACAATGTATGATGGTGAATTAATACGTGACACAATGCATGATGGTGTATTAACACGTGACACAATGTATGATGGTAAATTAATACGTGACACAATGCATGATGGTGTATTACCACGTGACACAATGTATGATTGTGTATTACCACGTGACACAATGCATGATGGTGTATCAACACGTGACACAATGTATGACGATGGTGAGTTAACACGTGACACAATGTATGATGATGTATCAACACATGACACAATGTATGACGATGGTGTATTAACAAATAACACTGTACACCATCACGACACTGGTATAGAGCTATTCACGCCTGGCCGATCCCGCTTCCTACATTGCACCGTCAAGGTCACCTCTCTGGGTTGGTTCAGTAACTACACAGGCTTATTGCTGTATCGATCAAGTGTACAAGTCTTCCAGCTGTCAGGAAAACCAAGTGCTCACATATGTCGGATTAAATTCGATATCTGCAGTCACGGGACTGATGCAATGATTTAATGTTGAATCATGGATCGTTGTGTCGTGTATGGCCGAGGAACACACCCTACTTCAAGAGCCTGACATTGGTCATATCTAGGTGGTGTGCTCCCCGCTGTTATGCGCCGTATTGTACCTGTCACTTCAAAGCACAACCCAGGCGGTTGGTACAGGAATATGTGTTTTGTTCGATAAAAAGTATTGTCTCAATACTACAATTCAATTTAACGATTTTCAATGAAAATACAACCGTTTTACATTTATTATACTGGCATGACTCTTGGGTGAGAAGACGACCTCAGATTGTACATTGGAGGAATTAATACAATTATTCTAATGCTGGTAGAAACGGCATGACGTCATCAATACCTCTGTTTATGTTTCGGTTGGGTAGCCTCCCATGTGCTCAGGTTATTTGGCGCTATATCATTTTACAGGGTAATCGACTTGCCTATATTCCCCCGTGACGAGGAGCGCCCCCTAGCACCGCATGTAAGATGTAATATCATGAACAACCTAAACCATCATCAGTTAACTACGGCGATGTTGTAACCGCCCTAACATGCCAGCGTTTGAGTGAGTGAGTTTAGTTTGATGCCGCTTTTAGCAATATTCCACCAGTGTTACAGTGGGTAACAGAAATGAGCTTCACACACTGTACCTATGTGGTGGAAGCGAACCCGAACCTTGACCGTAGGGAGTGAACGCTTTAACCACAAGGCTACCCCACCTCCCAGACGAACTGATTTAGCTGTTAGCTATCTGACTTATTATATTTTTTGTGATAAAAATGAATTCGGACACACTGTTCCCGGCCGAATATTTGGTTATCAAACAGAGCCATCTTTGTGTGACGGGATAACGCACCTCCCTTCGTCCGATCATATTCGGTAACCTAATGTATTGTATTATATCTCTATTCTATTCTATTCTATTTTCATAAATACCCTCGATCAAAGACGTGTCTATTGGAATCCAGAAAATTCCTAGGAATCCATTCGCCAACCACTGCTTAGTTTCGGAAGTGACGTCACCACCTCCATCGCTGATCATCGCTCGTATGTCTAAGCACAGAATGTCTCTCGCTCAGAAGAAGAATTTGATTGGACGGCTATTTTTAGCTCAAAACAAAGCTATAGTCACGAAAGGATCCAGGTTATTTATCGGAATATAACAACCTGGATGTCGTCCAATCTGTCACAGTGGTTTTGTTTGATGATAAAAAACTAACATTTACACCTATCTAGTACAAAGTAATCACGTGGACCAATCAGATCTCATCATTCTGACATGGATGTATGATAAAATACAATGTATCCCGCCTTGGAGCGAAATACATTTCTCAGTGGGGGAATAAAACCCTTGTACCCCGTCACGAGCAGGTCAGGCTGCACGTGGATTTCTGAGATTTAGATTAAATCCCTTATACCCCACTTCGAAACTGAAAGCCTCACGCTTTTTTCGAGCCAATGGAAGTCACGAGACCTAGCACAAGCTAACCTTATATCAATCAAACAGCTGTTTTCTACCAATTGTGTATTTATTTTAATTCTTTTAGATGTCATGTTAAAATATTTGGGTAAGATAAATTCGTTGAAGCAGGATCACTCGGGGTACATGGGGTTAAGCCGTTCGTTCCTCCAGTTCGTTGTAGCATTATTACATGGAGTTTAAACCCCTATGTACCCTGAGTGATCCTGGTACAAAAACGTTGTTGCCTCCAGCTCGTGGTATAAAACCTAACGCGAGACGCATAAAACCCCATGTTTAATTATGCTTACAATTAACCGACAACTAACTATATAAACATTTGTCGCAATACGTTAACCCCCTAACGGTGCACATTGATATGAACTATACAAGAATGAATTTATTTTTCTAATTAAAATATTTACCACCTTTACAACAGCTTGTAACCGTGGATGACCTCTAACGCCTTCTACGCGTTATAATGAGGACATGTGTTATTTAGACATACCTAGCTACTTCATCTGCACAGCTGCTGTGAAAGTGAAAGTTTTGTGCGCATGCGCTGTTATGCCGCCACAGACTGAGTAAGAACAAAATATGCGGCAGGTGAACGGTCAACCATGTGTCTGTAAGTCAACGTTCGAGGTATATCATAAGGGCGCACGGGAAATGTCCTATTATTAAGTTATGTAATATGTGTGTGGAAATAATGGGACATTAAACTTAATAACAACATCCGTTTTTACTTTCTTCGACTTGGATGTGACATATTCAAGAATATGAATTGAGGGACATCATTTTCTTTATATAGCTTTCAGGATAGAAATATAAAAAATCTTATCTCTGTGGCAGAATCAAGTAAGCTTCCTCAACATCAAATCAAATGTCAGGTAGAGAGAGAGGGGGAGAGAGAGGGGGGGGGAGAGGGGGAGAGAGAGGGGGGGTCACGTGACTCGTACACTCGACGCATCTTGTATCTGTGACAATAAACCATAAACCCATCCATTCTACAGGTAACTCAA